GTTAATCACACTGCTCTGGATGGCTGTGCTGTGCAGTGTGCCCGAGCCGACAGGGAGGAGGACTGTTAGTAAACAAAACAGTCCTCCTTCCCATCAGGGATCGTTGGAAATCACTGGGCGCCAGCGAGTAATTACCGGCCGGGGTCCAGTAATTGACAACTATGGCTGTGAATGGTGGTGCGGGTAGTGCGCGCGTGCACCATACCTAGAAATGCAAGATCACGTATATATACGTGATTTTGCTCACCCGTGCCGCCCCGTTGCAGTATTTCCTATAGGGCGGTCGGGAAGCGGTTAAAGCCTCTTCGAACTATCAAGAAATGAATCATGCCAGCAGCTCTGCTCTTCTCACATAAAAGGTTCAGTATAATAAACAAACTTTCCAATTAGCATATGTTTTATTATAAATAATGATCAGAGACCTACAGGAGCCTGAGCTGGTTTTACTGGAAAAAACCTTAGGACAGCTGGTGAAGACTGGAGAGGGTGAAGGATAGCTGCATTTTTCAAACAAAAGTAGCTTTGCAACTATAACCTCCTACTTCTGTCTTTTCCAGCTTTGTGTTATGAGAGTTATCTCTGGAATCCAGGACAAAATGAACATTGATTAACAGGACCAGGTTAACACAGAGGCAGAAAATATACAGTATGTGCCTCATAGAGTTTGGTAGCCAGGGCCCACTTTGTGGATCAAGGAGCACTGACAGCAGATGTATGAATGAAGCCCACAAGTACTGTTTGCAGGTTGCATTCACAGCTACACTGCAACACTATTGTTATATTGTCTTTTTGCTGATGCTTACCCTAGGTTCACATCTGTGCGGGTGGTGAAGCTGCGGATCCGCACGAAAATCCGTGTAGCCGCACCACCCGCACAGAGAAATGCGGACCAGGAGCGGAGTGACCATTTGGAAATTAGGGCACTGCCCGAGGGCCCGGGGTCAGTAGGGGGCACCATGAGATGCCCCTGGTATCTTTTTCATAGGCTTTTTTGAGTTTGGGCAAGGACACAGGGGCCCCATGAGTTGTCAGTCCGCCCCTGATGCGGACCCATGGGCGGGTGCCATTAGTTTTCAGAAGAAGTGCAGGGACTTCTTCTCTACATGTCATGGTGCACGGGAGTCCATTCAAATGAATGGGCTTTTGTGCCCACGCAAAACGTGGCCCACACAGCTGCATGTATGTGAACCAGGGCTAAGGCACTCAAGTTGCAAGAAAGTTGCATTAAAGTAGTGCAGGAACCTTTTCTGAAGTCGCAGCGACTTCAGAAGTAGTAATTGGAAAGACTGTCATAGAAAAGCATGGCATGTCACATGACATTATTTATTTCAGGCATTTATATAGTGCTGTCAATTTATGCAGCACTTTACATATATATTGTACATTCACATCAGTCCCTAACCCTCAAGGGGCGTACAATCTAAGGTCCCTAACTTACATTCATACATACACATACTAGGGCCAATGTAGACAGGAGCCAATTCACCTACCAGCATGTCTTTGGAGTGTGGAAGGAAACCCATGCAGGCACAGGGAGAACATGCAAATTCCAGGCAGGTGGTGCCATGTTTGGGATTTGAAGTATTAGCAGGTGGGAGTGCTAACCATTTAGCCATTGTGCTGCCCTTGGGTGTCATAAGTCATATCCAAAGTCTAAGGAGTGTGAACCGAGCCTTAAAGAAAAAAAAAAAAAGTTTCTCTGTATTTTTACATCTTTCAATTTGCTACCTGCTCTATCTTTTTTCCCATTTGTGTAAAAAAAAACCCTTTAAAAACAACAAAATACAGCCAAAAATGTGAAAAACACAAGGAAAAAAAGCCTCTTGGAAATATTTGTTATAAATTTTAAGGGTGTTTTTTACTTTTTTTTTTTTTTGCAGCATTCATGTTAATGATCACATATGATATAAAAAAAATCGCTAAAAATAAGTAGAAGCATTTTATGTTTTTTTGTCCCTTTTTTTTGCATTTTTTGTGTATTGTGCTGTTATTTGAGGACTTTTAAAAAGAAAAAATAGGCTTCCAAATTTTGCATCTTCACACTATTGCTCATGATTATGTTACCCTACCTTTACATTTTCACTTGTCTAGGCAGTAAATGCATGCAGTGCCTTGTAGGATTAAATTTTTTGCCTGTTTATCTATAGAAATCTTTTTTTTAAATTTTATTTTTTTTCCACTGCATTTTTAAATAGTTTTGTTTTTGTATTTTAATACTTTGAAGCGTTTGGAAAACCAATCATAACAATACGTGTCTTCATTCCATCTTTCATCTGTATTTCTTGTAATAACTGAGTAAGCACTGGGAAAAAGGAACTGAAAATGGAGCTTTGCTAAAGAGGAACCAATTACAGTTTAAGATTAGATATATTTAGACCATCAGTCTAAACAAGTTTTTTCCTCTCATGGTGATAACATTTTTTAATAAAAAGGATGTAGAACTTTTATTACCTTTAAAGTGGTTGTAAACCATTATACATAGCAAGTGAAGTGAATGGCCTTTGGATTTGTTTCATATCTGGGGGGTGATACACAGATATGAAATTAATCCTACATATGTTGTTCCTGTATATCTGTAGCCCTTTCTCCACTATAGGCATTTAAAGTACAAAGATCAAAGGCTATTTCTCAGCTCCAGAAGGCGGGGGGGGGGGGGGGGTAAGAGATCTGATATCACACACTGCACAGCACTGCACTGCACTGAGTGTAATCTGAGGTCTAAGTGGAGGGAAGGGACACACCCCCTCTGACACACACCCTCTACAGAGTCTCATAGGGAAACGTACACAGCTGAGGCTGGGGGTAGGGGGCGGTCTGTCTCCTGGGACTGTCTGGTGTCGGCATGGATTGTCAGAAGTGGCTCATGTGGATAGTAGAGGAATAGGAAAGCAGACAGAAATCACACTGGTTGCCTAGGATAGAGAAAAGTTCATACTATAGAACAGCTTCCTTCATTTTTCATTTCAGAGGTTTATTACCACTTTAAGTGACTGCTGGTTCCAAAAAAAGATTAAATTAAGCTAAATCCGAATAATTTATAAATAGCAAAGCAAAATGGCCAGAGTATCTTCCACCCCCCATGAGCTGTAAACTACTTCAGCTTTATAGGTTGCAGGTCCTGCCATTTTTACGCCCATCTACTGGCAAAGCTTCTAGGGTGGCCATCTCTACCAACCCCTAGGCCTGGCCAATGTGGCCAATCTTATCGTGTAGGTATGCGGGATGTCTGCTCCCCAATGAGCATTACGGTTTCTTCCACAAGCTGCTAGGTCACTACTTTGACCTGTAGTGGCATAGGGGTCAGAAGGATGAACCATGGAAAGGCAAAGGGGACCAGGTATCTGACACTCCCAAAGTGTCAGTTGCAGAGGCTGTGTGAAAGGTTGATTTATATCCTGTCTTGTTTATTGCAATTCTTTTTGCAATATAGTCATAAAAATACATTGAAAGTAAAGTGACCCTGATATGTACAAAAAAGAAATAAAACAAAGCCCAGCCTGTAAAAGGACACAGTTAACACTTATCTGTTCCACCACTTATGTCCTTTCACATTGCACTGTTGAATTACTGCTGTCTGAAAGATCTTCTGCAACCGACACTTCTGGGAGTGTCAGATACCTGGTCCCCTTTGCCTTCCATGGTTCATCCTGCTGACCCCTGTGCCCCTACAGGTCAAAGTAGTGATCTAGCAGCTAGTGCTGCTTTTCAACAAACCGGAACTTTCCGGTTTCAGGGAACCCCTGATATAAATGACTATATCTGCAACTCATGGTACAGTACATTGGTTTGATGGTCAGTGGGAAGAATGTTCCTTACACTTGTGGTCATTGGGAAGAATTACCCACTTACACATAGCTAAAAAGATCAATGGTGCCAGTGGGAACTTATCTGAGAAGCAGAAATTGCTCATTACTCAGGGAAACCCCTAGCAACCTCTGGAGGAACCCTGGTTGAGGAAATAGAAATAAGTTGTATGTAAAAGTATGGATCATCTTCAATACACAACAGCCAAGATTCCAAGTAGATTGATCACACATCAGTTATAAGAAATAGCAAATATATTAAAAAAAAAAAATATATACAATAATAAAGTTTTAAAGGGTAACATTTGAGGCTATAGGATCCTCCATCTTGAAAATAAACCCATGGGCTGAGAACCCTATAATGATAATAGAAAAGACACCAACAGAATTATATCAATTATAGGTCAGGGGCACTTTAAAGTAATATTTCAAGTGCCATTAACAGCCTAACCTCTTGCCACTTATGTAACGCATATGTGTGGTAGCAAAAAGGGCGGGCTTTAATGCCCATACGCTGCACATATGCATCTTTGGGGTGCCAAGGTTTTTATGCTCACTGCGCACTCCCAGCACCAAGCTGTCATCTCCTGTTCTCCCAGCTCCTGATCATGTGACCACTGTGATAACCAATCACATTAGTCATGTGATACGGCAGTCTTTTCTACCCCCAGGGTTGAGGGAATGCCGGAGCTGGTGACAACCCAAAATTTGGAATTTTTCTTTCACTTTCATTCTCGTGGCTCCTTTCCTGGCTCTACAGGTGGTTCTCTGGTGGTTCCAGGTCCCAGGCCTGTAGGTAGGCCGCTTCCCACTGGGCCCCCTCCCAGGCTCCCCTATCTCAGCCTTCCTCACTTCTTCCACCTGAACTCTCCTGCTACTGACCAGGCTCAGTCATGGCAGTCCTGACCCCATGCTAAGCCTCCTGCCTTGGGATTGGTCAGGATCCCTTAAGTATGCCAATCAGACCCTCCTCACCCCACCCACTGCTTCTAAAATCTTCTCAAAGTTTATAGAGCAGTGGGAGGATCAAGGAACTGACCTTCAGAGCCTTTCAGCCCTGACCTAAAATTGGGCCAGGCTACTGCTCAGCCTTTCTAGCGGAAAAAAATAGCTAGCTCCCCCTAGCTAACTAGAGGGGTGCTACATATATTATATATAAGATACTTAGAAACCTAACGTATGTCCTTTATTTCTTAGGCTGGTGGTGTGGCTTCTGGTTTCCAACATGTGGTCACTAATGATCTCTCTGCAAAAAGACTTCTACACATCAAAGGACGGAGGGTGGTTCGGGCTACGGAGGTTCCCCTCAACTGGTCCAGCTTCAACAGCGGAGACTGTTTCATCGTTGATCTTGGATCTGTAAGTAAAGATATAAATATTAATTTTTTCATTCTTGGGTTGAGATGCGCTTTAAAGCTTCAGCTAGCAAGAGACTTTAGTGTTAGCTTTAAATCATCTCTACCTTTCTCAAAATTTTTACCCCAGGGAAACACTTGAAATAGTCATTGGTGTTATGAAGGCACTATCAAATGGAAGGTCAATCAGCCACAGCTGAAGGAAATCCTAGCAACCCCTGGAGCAACCCTTGAAATAGTTTACAGGTCTATGGGAACCCCATCTGAAAACTTTTATCTGGGGGTCAATGGGAAAAGTGTATCTTACATTGGGGGTAAATGGAAGAATCTTTCTTACATTGGTGCTCAGTAGAAAGAAAGCTCCCCTTACATTGCTGGACAGTGGAAAGAATGTCCCCTTTACATTGGTTGTTAGTGGAAATAATGTTTCTCTTACTGTCGTGGTTAGAATGCCAAGCACCTTCAGCCTTGTAAACACCATCAATTGGGAGGTCAATCAGCCATGCCTTTAAGGAACCCCTAGCAACCCCTGAAGGAACCCTTGAAATTATATTTAGGTTTAAGGAACCCCTATTAAGAACAAAAACTTGGGGGTTAGTGGCAAAAACATACCTTACATTGTTTGTCAGTGGAAAGAATGTCCTCCCTACATTGGTGGTCAGTGGGAAGAATGCAATCAGAATGTCACCCCTACAGACATCTAAAAAGATTATTGGTATCATGCAGACGCCATCATGTAGTCAACCACAACTCAAGGAACCTCTTGCAACTTCTGGAGGAACCCTAGGGTTTCATGTAACCCTGTTAGAGAATGGCTGCTTTAGATGTTAGGGTTCACGTCAAGCCCTACACAAAGAGCTATTGCACAATTAGTGTGGCAATGAATACATCACTTTTCAGTAGAACATTGAAAGATCAGTCAAAACGCAGTCAAATGTCCTGAAAGTACTGAGGTGCTGGGGGCACCTCTAGACCCAATCCCATGTAAATGAGGCCTTATCTTAGTAGATTGGAATCTGCCTTGTCCACCTCAATATTAAATCTTTTTAGTCTCTTTGATTCATCATCAAGTTTGACCTTGGATAGCCCTGACATTCTTCTTGCAATATAATATTTGAATAAGAATTAAACACAATAAACAATGAGTGGGAATTAATAGTGTATTCTGAGCCTCTGTGTAAACTGTGGAACAATGAAATGGGATTGGTGTAGTCTTCCACTGTTTGGGTTCCAGGTGTGGAAAGACTAGAATACCCAAGTTTTCAGGGTTTTTTTTTTTTAAGATGGTAACATACTGATGAGATCCCAAACCATGTACAATCCCCTTGTACACATGAGTGGACATCACATTTTCTTGATTTTCTGTCTGTATGGGCTTTAGGCTATTAATGAGGCTCAGAGTACAATCATATGTAAATACTGAAGTTTAAATAGATCTGGGAAAATATTATTATTATACAGGATTTATATAGCTCCAACAGTTTGCTCAGCGCTTTACAATATAAAGGGAGACAATACAGCAACAATACAGTTCAATTCAAGAGGGTTAGGAGGGCCCTGATCCTGGGAGCTTACAATCTAAGAGATATTAAAATAACTTTGGTCCGAGGCTCCGAGGTCTTCATATCTGCTGAGTCAGAGCTAGCGATCTCCAATAAGAAAAATGTCCCTGCTGATTGGAGAGATCAAGCTCTGACTCAGCAGGGGGCATGTTGGACCTCTGCTTAGATACCACTGCTTCCACAGAGAGAGCAAGCGTCCTACTCTGCAGCATGCTGGCAGGTACAGGCTTTTTTTTTGTACTAAGGCTGTGGCTGCTTAATAAAGAAAATGGACTGTAAGGCAGGGCATACATGGGTCCAATTTTGAACAATTTTTCTTAAGAAAATCGGAAATTTTGTGCGTTTTATAATTGCCATATGATCTACGGATGTGTGGGTCTCCCGATTCAGCTGATCCAGCTTTGTTCTGGATCGTTTTTCTTGTATCTAAGACTTTTATAGATGTCTCAGCTGGAGAAAGTTTTGTTTGCACTTTTTTCATTTCATTATTCATATACTCTATTGTACTGAGTCTGTCTTAAAGACAAGAAGACTTCATTGATGTTATCTGTGCAAGATGTGACACGTAGTATTATGGGATGTCGGTTATCCAACATGACAGTGTGAAGTAATATGTTATAATGACACCACCCTGTACATAATCATTTGCCTACTTCCAGACATACTATTACATAGGAATTAGAGCTCACTTACTTTATTCATCTTGTAGACTATACAGTATATTACATTTATTTCAGGTACTTATATAGCGCTGTCAATTCACACAACACTTTACATATATATTGTACATTCACATCAGTCCCTAACCCTCAAGGAGCATACAATCTAAGGCCCCTAACTCACATTCATACATACACATACTAGGGCCAATTTAGACAGGAGCCAATTAACCTACCAGCATGTCTTTGGACTGTGTGAGGAAACCAGAGTACCCGGAGGAAACCCACACAGGCACAGCGAGAACATACAAATTCCAGGCAGGTGGTGCCGTGGTTGGGATTCAAACCAACAACCTTAGTACTGCCCGGTGGAAGTGCAAACCACTTAGCCATTGTGCTGCCCACACACATTGGGGTTGATTTACTAAAGGTAAATAGTCTGTGCACTTTGCAAGTGCAGTTTCTCCAGTTAAAAGAAGGGGACGCTTCACTTTACAAAGAATACCCAATTACATGCAAGGAAAACAAAAAACAGCACATTGTACGTAAAAGGGAGGGGGTGAGCTCTTGTAGCAGAAGTAGGTTGACCGGCGGGGGAAGGGGAGGTTAAGGAGCATTGGATGTCAAGGGGATGGGGGTGCTATTTCTGCAGAAGTAGAGTAACAGCACAAGGGAGGATTTGGTTCAAGGGCTTTTGGTGTAAAGGGAAGTGGGGTGCTTTTCCACCCCAGCATGGGGGGGCTTCAGGCTCATTGGTGTAAAGGGAGTAGAGTAACAGTCAGCAGGGCTGGGGGGGGTAGGTTTAGGGGCATTGGGTGTAAAAGAAAGGAAGGGTGTTCTTTCAGCAGGAGTAGGGTAACAGTGAGTAGGGTTGGGGGGGGTGGGAAAGGGGGGTTGGTTCAGGGGCATTAGGTGTAAAGGGGAGGAAGGGTGTTCTTTCAGCAGGAGTAGGGTAACAGTGAGTAGGGTTGGGGGTGGGGAAGGGGGGTTGGTTTAGGGGCATTAGGTTTTAAAGGGGAGGAAGGGTGTTCTTTCAACAGAAGCAGGGTAACAGTGAGTAGGGTTGGGGGGCGGGGAAGTGGGTTAGGTTCAGAGTCATTAATTGTAAAGAGGAGGAAGGGTGTTCTTTCAACAGAAGCAGGGTAACAGTGAGTAGGGTTGGGGGCTGGGGAGGGGGTTAGGTTCAGGGTCATTAAGTGTAAAGGGAAGGAAGGTGCTCCTCCAGCAGAAGTAGTGTAACAGCATAAAAGGGAGTCGGTGTGCTCTTGTAGGGGGAAGGGGGAGGTTAAGGAGCATTGGATGTCAAGGGGATGGGTGCTATTTCTGCAGAAGTAGAGTAACAGCACAAGGGAGGATTTCGTTCAAGGGCTTTGGGTGTAAAGAGTGGGGGTGCTCTTCCAGTAGGAGTAGGGTAACAGCATGGGGGGGGGGCTTCAGGCTTATTGGGTGTAAAAGGGAAGGGATGTGCTCTTCTAGCAGGAGTAGGGTAGCAGTTTAGGGAGAGGGTTAGGTTCAGGGGCATTAGGTGTAAAGGGGAGGAAGGTTGTTCTTCAGCAGGAGTAGAGTAACAGTCAGCAGGGCTAGGGGGGGGGGGGGGTAGGTTTAGGGGCATTGGGTGTAAAAGGGAGGAAGGGTGTTCTTTCAGCAGAAGTAGGGTAACAGTGAGTAGGGTTGGGGGCGAGGGAGGGGGGTTGGTTCAGGGGTATTAGGTGTAAAGGAAAGGAAGAGAGGAACGGTGTTCTTTCAGCAGGAGTAGGGTAACAGTGAGTAGGGTTGGGGGGCAGGGGGGGGGGGGGGTTAGGTTTGGGGTCATTAATTGTAAAGTGGAGGAATGGTGTTCTTTCAGCAGGAGTAGGGTAACAGTGAGTAGGGTTGGGGGGGGGGGGCGGGGGAGGGGGTTAGGTTCAGGGTCATTGGGTGTAAAGGGAAGGAAGGTGCTCCCTCAGCAGAAGTAGTGTAACAGCATAAAAGGGGAGCTGGTGTGCTCTTGTAGGGGGAAGTGGGGTTGGGTTTAGGCTCATTGTGTGTAAAAGGGAGGGGGTGAGCTCTTGTAGCAGAAGTAGGTTGACCGTCGGGGAAGGGGAGGTTAAGGAGCATTGGATGTCAAGGGGATGGGGGTGCTATTCCTGCAGAAGTAAAGTAACAGCACAAGGGAGGATTTGGTTCAGGCTCATTGGGTGTAAAGGGGAGGGGGTGTACTCTTCCAGTAGGAGTAGGGTAACAGCATTAAGGGGGGGGGCCTTCAGGCTCATTGAGTGTAAAGGGGAGTGGTGTGCTTTTCCAGTAGGAGTAGGGTAACAGCATGAGGGGGTGCCATCAAGCTCATTGGGTGTAAAGGGGAGGGGGTGTGCTCATCCAGTAGGAGTAGGGTAACAGCATTAGGGGGGGGCCTTCAGGCTCATTGAGTGTAAAGGGGAGTGGTGTGCTTTTCCAGTAGGAGTAGGGTAACAGCATGAGGGGGCGCCATCAAGCTCATTGGGTGTAAAGGGGAGGGGGGTGTGCTCATCCAGTAGGAGTAGGGTAAAAGCATGGGGGGAGGCCCCTTCAAGCTCATTGGGTGTAAAGGGGAGGGGGTGTGCTCGTCTGGTAGGAGTAGGGTAACAGCATGGGGGGGGCACCTTCAAGCTCATTGGGTGTGAAGGGGAGGGGGGTGTGCTCTTCCAGCAGGAGTAGGGTATCAGTTTGGGGGGAGGATTAGGTTCCCGGACATTGGGCATAAGGGATTGGCGGTTTGCTTCCAGCATGAGTAGGATAACAGTGTGGGCGGAGGGTGAGGATTAGTT